TTCTATACATAGAACTGTAGCTGGTGATGTTGGATGCATGATCTTCCATCAATTCATATCTTCAAATTTTATAGTCTTCAAATTAATTTGTGTCTTAAGTCAACCCTTTCTAGTAAGCCTTGCATCAGCCATGCATCAGGTAGTAGAAAATTAAAATCTGATTTATATATTTAATTTCGAATTGCTGTTTCAAGTCTCATCGTGCTGATTCATAGCAAAGCTCAATAATAAAATATGAATTCATTTCTGTTGCTCATATTTTGATTACCGTGAAAATTGACATGCCGTGCCTTCACAACCACTCTAGTTGCTTTCATTTTGCATACCTAAAATCAATTATTAATTAGAGTAAAGACAGCCAAGAAATCATGTAATTGAGTGAGATCGATCGACCTTTCCTCTATTTCTGGTCAGAATATTCAATGATCGGTCGATTAGCGTGTTGTTTTTTTTTTCTTGTTAAAAAATGACTAATTGGTTGTTTTGTTACGACAATACACTTTTCAGTAGTTGGAAAAACTGATAATGCATTCCAGCTTCTCTGACCACCATCGTGTAATTCACTAACACCAAAAATTGAATCTAGGACGTGCATGAAATTTCTCTCCCAGCACTATATCACCCATGATGATTAGCGTGTTGCACGGTGAAATCTCCGTAGTTAATTTTGAAATTTAGGTAATAAAACATTCAATAATACCAAATAATGCAAAGGTTGTCTCAAAAAAAAAATGTTAAACAAGTATTCGTTCACATTACAGTCAGACATGCACATGATGATCATATGAATGGAGTGTATATGAAATTTTTTCGATTAATTGGGAGGATTTTTCATGAATAATAAAAGTAAAAAATTCGTGAAAACTCCTCCAAATTAATCGAAAAAATACTAGTAAAAAAATTCAGAAATATTTCACTATTATTATGATATTTATTTTCCCTTTGGAAGAATATTTGATTACAAATTCATGAATAATACACAAAAGCTTATGGAAAAAGTTAAAAATAAAAAATAAAAAATGAAAAAACCTTGTGATCAATGGTGCAATGGGTTTGGACCGGTGGGAACAATGCGCATTTCGGAACCATAACGATCGATCTCCGTTCCGCCCGGCTCCGGCCGCACAGGCACATGTTTGTAAGGATGATGCTTCTGATGATGCCGGTGCCGGTGGACAAATGGGGAAAAGTCGAATTTAGAAGCCAGTAGTACTTTCCGGTTGCTCAAAGTGTAACGACGATCGGAGCTGCTGAGAGGATATGCTGCTGCTTGCGTAGGGTTTATGTGGCTATTTTTGGAAACGAGATGAAACCAACCGTGGACGGATAAGAAGAGCAATGAGAGCCAAAGCATGAGACTAAAAAGGCGAGGGATAAGAAGCTTGGAAGCCATGGAAGGGGAGAGAGAAGATGAAAATTAGAGAGTAGTGCATGGGGAACAAAGAAGATAGAGAATTTGATCTGAAATTGTGGGAATAAAGTAGCTAGGTTTTCTGTGTTTTTTTTAGAGAGAGAGAGAGAGAGAGAGAGAGAGAGAGAGGAGTGTTGAGGGTTTTGAAGCTTGACAGCTCAAATGTGCTATAAAATGTAAACCAAAAAGCTATCTAGCATAAGAAATGCTAATGTATATTGTACGAATGCTTGATAATCTGGTTGAATATTTCATTTTCTAGTATTTTAAGAGAGAGAGAGAGAGAGAGAGAGAGAGAGAGAGAGAGAGAGAGAGAGAGAGAGAAGAGAGAGATGGGTTTGTAAGGCAAGGCCAGTAGGTGCGAGGAGGGGGGCAGGATTGTCGAGCATTCTTCTACCAATGAAACTTCCTTTGCGTTCAAGGAACCAGTTAATTAGGCCATTTTTTTATTTTTTATTTTTAAGGAAATAGAGTTTTATTATAATTACTGTTCTAAAAATTCCCACCTAAGCGTTAGACGGTTGGTCACCGTCCCGATTAATACCTAGACGTTTGAAAATTAAGAAAGCCCGCCTAGACCGCCTAGGCACCCGCCTACCTATTCAGACCCGCCTAGACACCCCCTAGGTTGCGAACTTGCGACACACATTATATACTTGTTTTCCATGTTTTCATTGTGTTCTAATAGCTCATAATATATATGTCATTCTATTTTGTAATTTATGACGAAATCATATATATTTTAAATATAAACAAACAATTATTTACACGAAATATAATAGATTTAATTAAATCCGTCTAATCTACCTAGGCGGCCCGCCTAGACCCCGCCGCCCGACTAGAGCCTAGCGTCTTTTAGAACCTTGATTATAATATATTAAAAATTGATTCAAATATTAAAGAAGACAGAGGTTCTCAATCCAAATAAATATTAATAAAACATAAAGGCTAATTTGGCCAAACTAATTGTTACCGTATTGGTGGATTTGAAGGCGAGACATGCTTAAGAATAAGCAAAGGAACACATCCGAGTCTTGAAATCATTTACAAGCAAATTTAGAGGACTGAGGCGGCACTCCATATTCAAAGAAACTCCATTCCTAAAGAAAGGGACAAGCACTACGCAAATTAGCATCAGAGAACTATTAAGCAAAATTTTAATATAATAAACATAATGATACTTTTGACGAGTAGTGCCGACTCTAAAAAGGAACTAACAACAAACCAATTAGCGTCCATACCAACATGAATTTTGCGCAACACTATCAGTCTGGCCTTCGCTTTGATCACACACTAAGCTACCGATCAATATCTGTTTGTTTCATGCTAAATAAACAAAACTGGAAGATTGACTCTTTCATTTTTTTTTCTATTTTAAAATGACATGAGGTGGTCTGCTAGTTTGATCTTATTGTCAAAGATTAAGGCGGTGCTATCGACACACTAAATTTTACCTTTCAAATACTCTTTGTTAATTTATGTTATTTGGTTTTCTCTAATTCATTTGATCTGACTGTCGAAAATTGAAAAAAAAAAAGTGTATACAAGGTAACAAATAATGTGTGGATAGCACCCTCATATTGTGACGAGAGATTGAATTCAATCTTTGAGTTTTCAATTCATATTCACACTGACACGCTTTGCTACATATATGCCATAAATATGTTAATGTAAACCAAGTAATTGCATGGGAGAAAACAACTCCTTTACTCTTTCTTTTTTAATTACTCTTCGATATGTTTCTTTGGTTTTTGTAAATTTAGTCCTCGCTCTTTTGAACTAAACAACAAAAGTTAACTACAAGACAAAAAAAACACAACTCAACTTTTCTTTAAATACCGGGTTGACTAATTTAGCGGAATCCAATCTTACTTGTATTTACCATTTTATATCACATAAAGAATATCAAATAACAGATGTTTTTTTAATTTGAATAAATTTTTACATGGAGGTAAAAGATTATCAGTTAAATTATCAGAATATTATGAAATAAGCTAGAATGTATTATTAGCGTTGTATTGACCTAAAAATTAATTAACGATGTATTCATTTACAAATTAGGTAGTATTTAAGCGCTGTTATTATGACGTGGAGTAAAAATGTCAATACACGTGGCTTTTTTGGTTGCATAAAATGGAGTGGAATAAGCAATACCAATACAAATTTAGCAAGTTACACAAATATCGTAGTGTGTGCAAAGTGCAAACATGACCTCCAGAGGCATTATATCCCCTCTTCTCTCTCTCTCTCTCTCTCTCTCTCTCTCTCTCTCTCTCTCTCTCTCTCTCTCTCTCTCTCTCTCTCTCTCTCTCTCTCTCTCTCACATTGGCATATCTTCCGGGGGTAGACCAATTCCATGGAGACCTTGCATTCAGATGGCCGGATCGTTGGCAAGCAAATATGTACCCTTTTACCTTCCTTTTTCAAGGAGAACTTTTAGTGTCTGATTAGGTTAACTCTTATACGAGGTGATACTAATGTGGAATGCGTGAGACCAAAATACAAGAAATTGGTTTGCTTTGCTAGAAGTGCCCTATGTGATCAGGAAAAGTTTTTAACTACAACTTAGCACACAAAATATATCCCACCCAAACCTGACCTCTTCTAACCTGCACCACATAGTGTCCAGAGTCCAGACCCCAGATTCCCTTTTCTACTCATTTTTAAGAATAACTTACATAGCATGAGATATTATTGTTACGTCGCCTGGGCCACGTAAGTTCTTTACTTATTATCTACTCTGTCCAGTGTGTCCACCATCTGCCACATGGGTTGCCGACGTGGCCCGCCACTTTTTATCTACTTTTCCTGGATGATATTAACTTTTTTTTTATTTTAACTTTTTAACACTATTTTCCTTTCAAATCACAAAGTTCAAACAAGTTGTTGGCCATCTCAAAGATTGGAAAATGATAATTACCAACTTAAAATGAAATTTAAAAAAAAAACTAATGAAAATGATTTGAAACTTTGAGTTTTAATCAAAATGAAAAAAAAGTGTTGTAAATGAATAGTACCATAAATGACTTTTTAGAATAAAAATGTCATTTTTCATTAAAATAAACAGTAACAAAAATGTTTCGTTAAAACTCACAATTTAAAAAGCAATCTACCCACTGACAATGAACTATGCTATTCCTTCAAAACCAAAAAAATTAAAAATAAAAAATTAAAAGAAACAAAAATAATAAAATCCACCCAACACCTCTGCATCTTTATTTCTTAATTACCTATCTAATTCTCATCACGATAAATTGTCATCGTCGTCCGTGAAAATTGAATCCAAATTAAACTTCGAATTCGATTCACCAAAACTCCAAATTGAATCTCGAATTCGATTCACTAAAACTTACACAGAAACAGAAGAGGCACCAAATCCATCTTTTAATATATAATGTTTCAATTTGATATCCTTTTTCTATATATTTATAAAGATTTTCTATTCAACAAAAAATTAAACCTTTTCATAAATTAGAAGGCTAAATTAGCAAATTTATAAGCAGATTTTTGCTCAAGGGGTTATATGAAAGGCATGAGGGAGAGTGAGTGTAATCTTTCAAACGTGAGATAATTTTGTGAAAACTCGACAAACCTCGAAGTGCTAGTGTAATTAACCCTTTTAAAAACACAAGAATGTCTACTATTTTCCCTAAATTACACTTAACTCTGACGATATTTTCAATAAACTTACAAAAGTTAGTCTTAAATCCTAGCAAAACGAACATAAATTTCACAGTATACAAATCCTTCAAAGGATAATTAGTCAAACAAAAGTATGTGAACTCTCGCATTTGTCACACTAAATCTGCCAGCAAAGACGAAGTAAAAATCAGCAGTACTCCACCTAATACACATGACAAGGGAAACTACACCAACGCTGCAGACCTAAAGTCCGTTTGGATGTACTTTTAAAATTACTGAAAGCGCTTTTGATGAAAATATTTTTGAAAACAGTCCTTAGTAAAAATGTTAGTAAATCTTGAAAAAATACTTAAATTGCTTCCTTAGTGCTTCTTGTAGAAAGCACTTAAAGTGTTTTTGGAATCCAAAAATATTTTCTATAAAAGCGGCTTTCAGTCATTTTAAAAGCACATCCAAACGAGCTCCTAAGCGCTGCTTTTGGTTACTTTGAGCCATTCAGATCCTCGAAATCCATACCGTTGGCTATATCATCCTCAATAGCATCAGCTTTGGCATTCGAATCATGTTCTTTAGCCTTCCTCCCAGTCTATATCGTCCTCATCGTCTGCTGTAGCATCAGCCTCAACGTTCAAGTCATGGACCTTATAATTTTCTGCATTACCTGTAGCGTGTATGGAGAAAAGATGTAAAAACAAGAAAGCTGTGCAGCATGGGAAAATTCAAGCACATCAATGAAGAATCTGTCACAATGCATTGCAAAATTTGAACTTCTATACTGATATGAACTGCGAATCAAAAGCTTGAATATGCACACAAAATAAATCGACACATTCATTGGCTATAAGTGACCATCGTGTGCCATTCTCATTGTTCGTCAACATTAACTTAAGAGGACAGGAATACAAATTGAAGAACAATCTGAAATTGAACACTGATTGCCAAATAATAACATTTACCTGTAACTAGAGCCTCTTCCCAGTCTACGTTATCTTCTCCTTCATCCTCGCGCTTTGACTTCATGCCAACCTGACGATTAGGAGACACTGCAGAGGGACCATCAGAGATGTGTGTTTCCTGTTCTTTCTTTGCTTCTTCTTCTTGCTGTCTTTTTATTAGAGCAGCATAATATGCTTTTAAATACTCATCCTGTAAAACAATGAGGATACAATTAACTCAAAATTTTAATTAATTAATTTATTTATTTTGACCTCTCCCAGACCCTGCGTAAAGCGGGAGCCTTGTGCACTGGGTACGACCTTTTAATTTATTTATTTTGAAGGGGGATCTCAAAGCAAGAAATTATTGCACAAACCTGTATATTTTTCTCATTATTTTCAGTACTGAATTTTTTGTCTTCTGAGAACTCTGGAGCTGCTACACTTCCACTGCCATCCATCTTTTGCTCCTGCTTGACCTCTCCACGTTGTTCTTTCGTAAGGTTCATGCCTTGCTTGATCATCCAAGGTGGCAAAACTTTCAGGCTTGTACCATCAGCTTCAGATTTTATATCCTTGCCCTTTCCTTCAACCCCAGAGAAATCAACTTCAACCTGCAAACCAAAGATATTTCAAATACTTACAGCTCATTATATTTTTGCCATATAATCATTACTGCCAAATCAAAAATAGTTATCCCAAACACACCTCAAGGCGACATGATTGGAAGTTTGGAGGGAGGGGGACAAGAATTACCTTTGTATCTCCAAGAAAGGGCATTGGCGTTCCACCATATCCCATCCCATGCGAAGATTTGGAGGGATCCATGGCACTAGACTCACCGTTCTCTGCACGTCTGGCAGCACTTGCTCGCGCTTCCCAAGCTTGGAGACTTCCAAATTCAGGAGGAGATAAGTCTTTAACTCTATTAATTTGTTCCATTAGAGGCTTCAGCTGTACCTGCATTCATTTCATTTAATTAACTCATAGAAGAATGACAACGGTAGAACTGTAGAATACACAAGTACAATAAAGTGCAACAATTTATGTTAAATGTTAACTTGAATGATGCAGAAGCATAAACACAAACATTAAGGAGTGGTAATGCTCGCATAATAGTGAAGAATTAGCAATCAAGGGTTGCCCAGTTGAAGACTGGCATATTCATCGAGTATACAAGTGCAATGAACAAATAACACTCTACACAAGTCAAGCGATTGCGATAATAGAATGAAGTAGAGACATACAAAACACTTAGGACAAGACCTTGCAACAACCCTCAGAAAATAAATTTCTTGAACTTTGACCACCAAAACCATGAGGTAAATTGGCCATGAAATATCAGATTATTCACCCGTATAAATGTTCCCTTGCATTTTTCATATCCACCAATGTATGTCATAAGACATAAACATATAAAAATCAAGAAAAATAAATGGAAACCGTAAAATTATGAGACATTTTACTATAAGAAAAAACAAAGCTAAAGCCAAACAAACCTCCATCTTTTGAAGCAAGTCCTTTAATTTTTCACGCCGCCGCCTCCTTGCATTGTCATCTCCATCTCCTACCACTTCTTGCGAAGCTAGTTTGTCACTCTCAGCCACAAGTTCTCCATTGCAATTTTCACAATGGAAGTACTCATCCTCCATAGAAACCAGTTGCAGAGCATCTAAAGCGTTGTATCTAAATATTTGTGCTTGCAGGCATAATTCAAGTATCAAAATGAGGAACACACATAGAAACACACAGGAAAAAGAAGAAACAGTTGAGACCTTTTCCCACAGTTAGGGCATACATATTCCTGAACTGTGTTCTTGTCCTCCAACTCATCTTTCAATTTTTTCCGCAAACGGTGCAGTCTGTACCTTACTACATCGTATATCTGAAACACATTCTAGTTTAGGCCTTAATGAAAAAATAGAAGCCAATATTTTATTCAACAACCGAGAAATTATTCAATCAAGTCAAACCAGCAAAACTACAACATCGGTTCACTCACCACCTAGTTATTGACCTAATTTTTTTTACAATTACATAACTAAAACAAATAGATATATATACACACAAAATATACAAAAGTAACCTGTGCATAGTCCAGACAGCAGTAAGAGTGAGTGTGCATCTTAACTTTCTCTTCCCCTTCTTTTACAGGTGGCCCATCTCCTGCGGCAGCGACAGCAGCATTATGCATCTTCGCACCCTTAGCTGTCTGCAAAATTTTTGATATAATGAATAAAAATACATAAAGCATTACTATCTACATCAGCTGGCTTGTTAATCCATATCAATCAACAGCAAAAAGGAGCAAGATTTGTTCCATACAAATTACTAGACTTCATTCTTTATATCTAAGGGAAAGACTAATTCATCAAATAAAGCGCAATGGACTACTAGAACAACCACAATGCACGAACTATGAAACTTAATTGGAACAAGATAATCATCTAAAATAACCTAAAATGAAATTCACAAAAAGCAGTCCCTCATTACATCTTCAAACATAAGATTAAAGGTGCAAAAGACCCTGAGTGTCCAATATATCAAAAAATAGTGTAAAACAAGAACCTAACATAAATACAGAGTAAATTTTATTTTTATAAGATAGTGTAAAATAAAGAAGTGCAACAAGGTGTTCTGGCAGGTTTAAGCAGGTTGTAAGTGAGAAAATTGATTCCCTGCCTTCACAACCATATATAATAACTTTTTCTGAACCTGGTAAGGCATGGTATAATTGGTCCCTATAAACTTGATTAAACCCTTATATCTGAAGACTACAATAGCCTGGTACACCCAGGTTGACCTGCCTCAGGTTAATCAAATGCAGTCTAGTTCCTTCAAAAAAAAAAAAAAAAAAAAAAAAAAAAAAAAAAAAAAACAATACAACCATTTCTTTTTTGACTCGTTTATACAAGGGCCTTTCTTCTTAGCTTCTGGAATTCAAGAAAGGAAATTCTCTTCGAACACGCGTGCGCACACTGGTGTTTATCTCTTTCTCTTGTACCTCATATTTTAAGAGATGTCATTTCAGAGTTTATCTGGTCACTGTTCTAATCACATGGATTGGACTTGGAACCCTCCTTATGCTTTTATCATATGGTTGGGCCGAAGTAACAGCTAAGAGCCTAAGACCATTCACATATAATCAGCAAACCCTTAAAGCCATTAGACAATTTGGACCGAGGGGCCTCGAAGCTCCACCATTGCTTTACAAAATCTTGGTTTATTCCATTTCTATTTGAAATGACTAACGTTACAAACTAGATTGAGCACTAGGATCACTTACAAGTGACAGATATCTAAAAATTACAGATACCTACATTGTTAATATCCTTCTTGGTTTAACCTTTCAAGCATGTTTCTTGTAAGAAACTTCTCTTTGTTTTCATATATTAATAATCATAAAATGAGTCAGAATGATACATAAAACTTATCAGATGGACCAAACCAAATAAAACACAATAACTAAGATCAAACAAATGACCTCTCTCCTATGATCTCTGGTGACCAGTTTTTCCTCCTCAAAGAATCGCAAAGTACGACGAAGCTGCTTCGAGTGCAGTTTCAAGTCCTTTGCCAAATCTTCTTCTCTTACCCATTGTCGTCTGGCATGAAAAGATCTAAATATTACTCACAAGCAAACAAATGATGAACTAAAAAATTCTTGAGCACCTTCACCCTCACACACACACATACACAGAATCATCCATGTAATACACAATAAAATTCCGCATAGCAAAGTCTATGCTAAGTTTTGTAGGGCACGTTTGGGATTGCTTCTGGACCAGAACAACTAACGTGTTTTCAGATAACCAAAAGCACTTCTGACTACGAACTCATTTGGGGCTGCTTTTGTAGGAAGCAATTCTGCTCCCAAGTGCTTTCACTCAGAAGTTTAAAAATTCAAGAGCTTCTTGGAAAATCACTTCTACGACCCAAAAGAGCTTTTAAGTTTTTTCCGCCAAACATAGTGAGAAGCGCTGTTGGTTGTCAAGATTCACTGTTAGTGCTTCTAGAAGAAATCCCAAACATGCCTACGTTTGACAGGAAACTTAAAATGTTTATGGGTCGTGGAAGCGCTTTCTGGAAAGCAAGAAACACCAAGTATTTGCGAGTGCTTTTCAAGGAAGCACTTGGATTTTTAATAAAGATTTCGGCATGCATATAGTAAAGGTACTACTAGCAAAAGCAATAATAAGCAAATGATTCCTACAATACGAGCCCGTAGTATTTGGCATGATCAAGTAATCAAATTCACACACGAATTCAACCAAAGTAGTTGCTCATAGCTCACTTCACCAGCCCCAATTCACATTTCCCCTCTCAATTTACTCATTCAATAATCGTAGTTACCAATACTCTAACACTCCACATTTCTTCGATTTCGGGTTTTAATCAAATTAAAATTTTCATTTTTCAATCTAAAAACGCTTCCTTTATCCAAAAACAATACAATTAACTTCACAAACCTCGACAGCGCATCGAGCACCACCACCGCAATCCCCCGATTGTCGCTCCGGCCGGTCTTGGGCTGATTCCTCCCCTTTCGCCGGTATGTCATCGTAGAACGCCCTCGCTGTAAGCTTCACCAACCTGAATTCCGATTGGAAACACCAAAAAGATAATAAAAAACCGCCATTTAAATTTCTGTAGTTTTCATTAGATTGCAAATTGATCGAATTAATCACAGAAACCCTAGGGGAGAGTTGAAGAGTACTTGTTAAACGGCTCGATGCTCATCGTCCACGAATCAATTTCCGGCGAATTTGTTTCGATTTTTGAATAATTTTCTCTCTCTCTCTCTCTCCGCTGTGTGCGCGGGTTCAGTTGGGATACTGCTCAGGAGAGAGAGAGAGAGAGAGAGAGAGGTCTGAAGCTCTCTGGTAGGTTATGGAGGGACCTATGGTAAATGCCTTATGCAGTTGAATTTTCTTAAAAGGCCTTTGAGAATATGCGATTCACGAATGCGGTCGCCAGGTTTTTGAACTATTGTAAGACAACCCACATCCAATGATCCAAGCCACGGATTTTGTTTACTTACTTTCGTAAATTCATGGTACGAGAATTCGAAATTGGAATATCTTCCAAGTAATGTTGATGGTAGTAAATATTTGTTTGATTGACTAGTAAATTATATATATATTTTTAAATATGTATGTTGTAGCGCGCCAACGCACGCAATATTTCTTTATTTATCGTTCGTAAATTTCTACCACTTGTTGGGTGATGTCTTTTCTTTTAATGAGCCATATGTGATTGATAAACTTTGCCAACTTTTGCCTCTGACACGACCAGCATCTTGTTCGATTCAAAAGAAAGATTTGAAAGTGAGTGACAATGAAGCTCTCTAAGTGTTCTAATTGGCATTACAGCTATGAGACAAAATTTTTGTGCTTTGAGAGTTGGTTGACAATTGATAATATACGTCACGTAGATACTACATTTCTTCTATTCATAAAATAGTTTGAGATCATTATAGATATAATAATTGAAACAATGAAACTTAAAGAGATTTTTTTGTTTTGAATCACTTAACTTGCTATAATAGCGAGAGATTTCAATCTAAGACACTATCTGCATAAATGGGAATTATATTCATTTTCTGTTAAATAAATATGTCCTTTAAGTTGCTAATTCAACTGTCGTTTAGTTTAAGCATTGATTCATGATACTTTAAAAAATGTACACTACAAGTAGGAGTCTTAAAAAGTACAATCCACCACCATGTCAAGCATATAAGATGAAATTTATCACAATGTCTACGCTAAATAGGGTAAACTGAAACGCGAAACGAGAGTATATGCGGTAAGTGAGACACAATCGGCAAAGAGTATAATGGTGATTGCAAAACATAAGCCGAAAAAGTATGATCCGCCACCATAAGTGGTAAATTAAGAATATAATATGAAATATATGGGCATTCATAATTTCCAAACTTTGTAGACCTCACATAACAAATTAGGCTTCTTTCGATTGTATGATTGTATGATGTGACGCAATGCAATTTAAATAAATAGTTTTGCCGTCCCAAGGGTCCCACACATACAATCTGGACCCCACTTTGAATTCAACAAAGATCTTTCATCAGCCGTTAGATCAGTATCATCAACACGTGTACGGTTCTGACGAGAAGAAAAACGCAGTGGTCGAGCTCCTAACGATCCTTCTCTCTCTAACTTTCTCTCACTAGGCCTCTGTACTTCCATGGCGAAGCCTCGAAAGCCCAAGAACGAAGACGCCAAGCCCGGCAACTCCGGCCCGTCGTCCGCCACCAGAAGCTCTACCTCTCCATCGACGTCGATAAGCGTCGCCTTTACGGGTTCGTCTCTGCCCTCCATTAACACACAGACTAGGAAGAACACACTGTTGCATGTTCACTGAATTCGTGACGAATCTCTATCTATTTTGGGGAAATTCGATTGGGTTTTGAGATTCGGGGAAATTGTGAATTGGGCATTGTTTTGGTAAAAATTGATCGTAGATAAGCAGCTTTGGGAGCCGGAAATTGTTGCGATTCTGCATGGTTAGTGTTAAAGTTGGTTAATTTTGTTGAACTTTGATGGGATTGTCGGTACACTGAGTTGAAGATTGTGGTCCCAGAAATTGGGATTGTGGGGTTACACGCAGAGAATTTGGGGATTGAGAGTGTTTCAGTCGACGGTGAGCAGACCGAGTTCGAATACTACCCACAGAGTAATCATAAAGATGAGGAGAGCGAGAGGAGCTGGAGCTGGGTGACGTCGCCAAGCTCCGCTGCCGATGCGGCTGGGGTCAACATATATATCGGCTCTTGAGAGAGAGAGCTGGTCCCGAATTTACTGATCAATTGCTGTAAGGCTTCCAAGGCCGGAAGTGAACTGCAGGAGCAACTGGTTGGGGATAATGAGGTGCAGCATTCTTCTGGAGAAGTCAAGCAGGTTATGGTTTATTTTTGGAGTTGTGAGTTGAAAATATGTGGCGGGTTTTCAAAGTTCAGGATTGATCAATGTAAATGGTTAGGATGGCATTAATTTTCGTGTTTTGTATCGAATTTAGCTGGTAGGGATCATTGTGTATGCGCATATGGACTTACACGTTTATGCATTTATACTTGTACATATTGACTGAAAAAGAAGAAAAAAAGACTTACTTGTGCATGGTTCAGATTTCTGTTGCCCTGCAATTTTCTAGAATTTTCGTGGTGGGTTTTTAGAGTTCGTGATCGATCAATGTAAATGATTTGATGGCATTACGTATGTTTCAGATTTTTGTTTCCCTGCCCTATGTAGAATCTTTGTGGTGTGTGTTCATAGCTTAATAGACGGTGAATGTTGATTTTATTCCAATAGTTATTAGGAAACGATCAGTTGGCGTGGTGTGTTGTGACGGTGTTTATCTTGTCTATGGCTTCTCATGTAGTTTGGTGTTGGTGCAGAATGCGAGGTTAGTTCGTATTGATTATTGGGTAGAAAAAGCAGAGACAGGAATTTATTTTCATGATGCTGTTCTACATACTGATAACCAGATACGGCGTGCACGGTGCTGGTTCCCTTGTAAAGATGACAATTCACAAAGTTGTTGGTACTAATTGTCTAATTGTGCTATTCTTTTGGTAGTTTTGCATATTATTGACAACACTCGGTTATTCATAATGACTATTACATGTTCAGCTATGATCTGGAGTTCACCGTTGCACAAAATCTTGTGGCTGTTAGCACTGGCAGCTTACTATACCAGGTGAGATCAACGATAGAACACGAGTCTATTCATGTTTAAGTGCCAACATATTGTGTATTTTTCATGACAGAAGTGCATATTCTGTGATTTTTATCCCTTAAAACAGTAGTTAGCAAACAATAGAAAATTAATGTTTGAAGTAAATACTTCTCATAGAAAAGTAAGGAAATTTGTCACAAAAAGAAAGAGTTATTCAGTAAGTAATTACTAGACAAATTGTAAACCGATATATAGTTTTCTTATCTAGTCAGCATTTAAAATATTTGTGGAAACGAAATGTCTCATTTACAGTTGTTATTACATAGTCATAGGTACCTTTCTAATTACTTGACAAATTGTAATCCAATATATATTTTTTTGTCTCTTCACCATTAGTCATTATGCATATAATAGTATGACAATTAGCTAATAGAAGTCATATAACCGAGAAAAAAAAAACAAACTAATGTTTCTTCATCGGACAAGGATTGTCTGCCCTCCACTTCCGGTGCCCTTCCCGTGCCCTCCTGTTTTATGTGGTCACGGTTAAGTCACGTCAACATTTTATATTATTTTTTTATAGATATAATAAGACAAAAATAAATAGTAATATAAAATGTTAACGTGATTTAACCGTGACCATACAAACAGGAGGGCACGGGGAGGGCACCGGAAGTGGAGGGCAGACAATCCTTGTCCTTCTTCATCATCACTTATTCTGGATCCTACAAATCCTTGCAGGAAGGTCGGAACACCGTTTTCCCTTATTTATTCTTTTTCTGTTTTACATAAAGTTTTTACTTGATTATGATTACTTTTCAGGATGAAAAACATTACTCAGTTTTTTCTCTTTTGCCACGTATGGAGTTCATTTGTTCTTCGTTAAGGCTCGACATTTTTCATTATTTTCTATTAATTGTATATGAACCGAGACCCATTTTCAGGCCCCCAACGCTATATGGAGTGCCAAAAGATCATAAACCATTTCATTTAGGTGAAGCGGAAAGCTTCCGAGAGCAGAAAAACATCTTTGCCGCTTTCATCCCAGAAAGTAAATATGTGGAACCACCTTCCGAAGCTCCAAACCTTTCTCATGGTGATTTAACTGTTCCTGAAACTTCCAGCGATGGGTTTGCCTTTCCAGCAGCTTCCAAGGATGATTTGGGTGCTCCAGAACCTACAACCGATGGTTTTGGTGCTCCAGAACTTCCCAGTGGTGGTCTTGGTGATCCAGAACCTTCTGGTAGTGGTTTGGTCGCTGAAGAACCTTCCATTGGTGGTTTTGCTGCTCCAGAACCTCGGATTGGTAGTTTTGATGGCTTAGCGGTTTCAGAACCTTCCATTGTGAGCCCTAGCAATCAAAATCTCGAGGAAGTAAACTCTTGGCATGATCTTGGATCCCGGATGACTGCCAGCATTGGTTGCGCAAAACTTGCTAGTGATGTGGATGATACAGGAAAGGAATTACAATGCACTGCCGATTCAAGCAAAGTTTCTGCGCTGCCTCGGCCCGAAGATCCATCACCTAGCTTTATCCAAGATAACCGAGATGCAGAAGTACAGAAGCATGCAGGTGTCCAAGCTCTTTCAGTTCCTAGGAACGATGTTATTGGTGGTTCATCCGGAATGTCGGATTCTCTTCCTCGCGGGAAAGAAAAGGAGAAAAAGAAAGACGAGAAACGAAAGAGGGATGGCCATAAGGGCCACCGAGATGATCCTGAGTATTTGGAGCGGAAGCGTATAAAGAAGGTGAAGAAGCCGAAGGAGAAAGAAATGGCGAAGCTGTTGAATGAGCGCGCGAAAGTACCTTCCGCGGAGTTACCAAGTCCGCAACTGTGCAACTCAAACCGGTCGAGCCCAGTGGATCCAACAAGTTAGTGATCACAGGGGTTGAAACCACCAGGCCCGAGCCATCCGAAGGTACTTACTTCCGCCACTCCGAAGTTTCGTATTAAAACAAAGATCCGGACGTGACTGAGGGTGGTTTTCCCTCATCGTAAATTTTCGAAACTGGCGAGGGTGGTTGGTTTAAATTTTTGTATCGTAGCCTCTCCATAAAATTGGGGTAAGGCTAGCCGACATTCACCTCTTCCAGACCTTGCGTAAAGCGGAAGCCTTGTGCACTGGGTCCGACCTTTAGTTTGTTTTGTATCCGGCAGGCAGTGATATAGGTGTGTATAGTGGTGAATGGGAGACTAGCTGACACTAGAATTAATATTCTTTACAATTTTGTTTTTTTTTTTACTGCCTTTAATTTAATTTTTGCGAAGTTAATTCTTTTAATAATGTGATTGTAACTATTTATGCCGATGTCATTTATGAGATAAGGTTTCGTTGTTGTTATTTACTTTGCGTCCCCCCAATCAGTTTCAATGCACACAATGGTGATATTATAATTTTCGTTCTTAGTCAATAATTTAGAAATAAAATCTTAATTTAATACACCTCACTGTCAATCGTTTTTTGAAAGTGGGAAATGTGCGCTTGATGCTTAGGGGTGCTAAACCTAGGTGCTGTTTACAGTTATTAGAGTGGTGGTTTTCTTATTGGGCTCATGGAGTATACTCTTTCAGTTTCAACAAGTGAATTGCATTTGGTATGCGAAAATGAATTCATAGAATTTTTCTAGAGGGAAGGAATGCAAAATTTCGTTCACATGTTTACAGTGGTGGATCCAGGATTTCAAGATCAGGAGGTCTCAACATAAAAAATAAAAAATAAAAAGTAAACTAATTTGGTTTCATATCACTATTTTCTATTGAATTTGGTTAAGTGAATAAAGCAAGATTAATCTAAAATGTAATAAAACCAACAAATTATCTTCAGCAACATAACACAATTAGTGACTCTACAAAGATAAAATTTGTTACTGTACATATATATTATTAATTGGGAGTTGGCACTACAGTCTAGGATTAAAAAACTTAAATGAATTTGGAAGAAATAAAATTAGGCAGCAAAAGGCGGTGGAATGGCAAATGGTGGTAGGGAATAGGGTAACTTGGGTTTAAAGTTGGAAGGTTGCGATGATTTGGGCTGAGAGTTCTTAAATATAATTTGGGGATACTGGAAAAGACCGGGGTTCTCAAGCTCTGTAGAAAAAATAGAGATATTTTAGTTTTTAAATTTTTTATAATGACCTAACTCAAAAATGTTGTCGTTTTGGCTAGGTCTTTTAAAACAAAAATTAAAAACCTCTTCTTCTTCTTTGTTATAAGCACTGCTGCCTGTACATCCATGGAGGCAACAAGCCTCTCCACTGCACATGCCCAAATTGTTGGAGGGTCCCAAAGGTCGATCACAAGTGTTTCTTCAAGCTTCCGAAGGGTCCCGGGATCCTCCAAATCCCTATATGGATCTGCCAGTGCATGTTTGGTAACAATGGGAAAGGAGACAGGAAGTATCATATAAAAAAAATAAAATTAATTGTTACTAAGGACAAATTTGTCATAAAAAGATAGTAATCAACGTATGTTAGGGTGGAGGGATTCACTCCCCCCATATTCATTTGACTTGCCAAACATGGGAAAGGCAACACTTTCCTTTTACCAAGCTCTCTTTCCCTCGTACCAAACGTAGCCTTGAGGAAAGTTTATTGTGTTAAAGGTTTATTTCAGTATCGTTTTTCTATAAACTGCTTCTATGACTGAAAATATTTTTGAATTTGTTGTCAAACATAATCAGAAACCTTGTAAGATTGTTATAAAACACTTTAAGCAATCGCAAACATGTCATAAGTATGAACCTCATGTTCTCGCGCCTCACATGTTTGCCCTAATTTTTCAATTTTCGATGGCATTTCTTTTTTGTTTCTCCTTTGCGGCTGGGGGTTGGGTTACTATTGCCTAGGGTTAGGAAGATGAGGGTTTTTAATTAGGTTTTCAGAGGGGAAGTAGCTAGGGGTGTGCAGCTAAATATATGAATGGCACTACTCAGTCAAAGTTAGATGTTGCTGTTGTGGATCTCTCACAGATCTTACTTGTGGCAGAAGGCAGAGAGAGAAAAATAAACAAGAAAAGAAGAGCTAAGCTACTCTGATCGAGTCTGTCTCTCACGCACAGGCCACAGCCCACACCGCGCAGCCACGAGGGGTCCCCCACGGCTACATGCAAGGCGAAAACCATGGACTGCCTTTACCCTTGCATAGCGAGTAGTATGGCCATGCTTTATGGCTCGTTGAAGACTGTAATTGATTGCTTCAGGCTTTGTGGTGGTTTGTTCTTACAAGTTAAGTAGTGTTTCTGGTTTGGTGTATTAACAGATGCAAGATTTTGAAAGGTTCGGTGCTCCATCGAGATAAGGGAAAAAGACATGTTTGAATTTCTGCAAGGCTTGAGTTTAGATGAATCTTCAGATGAACAAAAGAGAAAGATGAGGGAGTGAATGGAAATATTTACATTGTGTAACGAGGGCTACGTGCAAATCAATAAAAATATAATTATGACTGTATTGGAAGAGGAATGCTAATTGGACTCTCTCAAAATAGAACATTTCATGAACTCTTTGTCACTTATGCTTTTGGCACAATGTTTTGTACTGTTAACATAAAAATTATGTTAAATTATGAGGTATCAGAGAGTCCATGAAGACTTTGGAATCAGTAGGGGTGGAGGTTAATGGGTGAAAATGCCTACATGGATTAACAATTAATAGGGGCGGAATAAGAGAATTTCGGGTTCAAATTTTCTGCATTCAAAATCCTCTATGGCCTCTCTATGTTCTATCTACTCGAGTGACACGTTTCCTTAATTTATCTTTAGTTTTTTTTTTTTTTGGGGGAAGAGTTCAATCTATTAAATAGGATTTAAATAAATAGCAAAGTGTTAACAAATGAGATAAGTCACATAGAGCCACATAAGATTTTTTTGGATAAATGATAGGATAATTACACTAGGAAATTGTTAATAACACTCCAAAAATCTCATTCTACACTCCAAATTTTCTATATTAGGAAAAAAAATACATTTGTGAGAAGTGTAGAATAAGATTTTTGGAATGCCAATAACATTTTCCTTATACTAAATTACTTTAAACTATGAGGATTCAAACACGAGACCTTGAGTGCATAAGCAAAAGCTCTTAACCAATTCAGTTACAAGCCATTTGCGACCCACTTAAGATTTTAGATGCAAAAGATTTGAACTCAAGAATTTCCGCCTCTAATTAGCATTAGTGACGTCATTTTTATGGCATATGTGATGGAGAAATTTAAAATATGGAAAAACAATTTTATCAATCCAAAAGACTGAAGAAAAGTGAAGGCGGCTAGGTACGTAGGAACTGTCACGCCCCCACAAGCTGATGAGACTGGGGACGTAAGAAATTGTTCGTCAGTGTTGAAATGAATACAACAAGTGCTAGCTATATGAAAAAAGGAGCAAAGAAATCTGATGCAAAGTTTTCCATATCAGGCTAAGATTTTCTTGTAAATCGATGGGATTTTTCAGCTGGAAACCAAATAAATCCCCATATCTATATATGTACTTGACAATTGTAGATATATGCAGTAGCTAATGAGTCAGTTCATTTACTGTTACTCACGTTGTTTAACAGTGCGGGTGGCTTCGATTGCTCAGCCTTCTTTCGATCAGCAACTTAATTATACCAGATGATATATGTCACGCAACACTCAAAATGTTTTTACTCCACAAGCAAAATTCAACTGCTCCAATATAAACAGAAATGCATTCGTCCAACAATGTTTATGTAAATATGGTAACCTCGTCCGCGCGTAACATCCTACTTTAATTAACGATGTAATGTAAGGTTACAAAATAAACCGTGGTGGTTATACTGTAATTTTATTAAAACAAAGGGTGCCAATACCTTTTTTTTTTTTTTTGAAGTACCGTAGAATTTCCCTATGGTCAATTAGCACTTGTGATTAGACAAGAAAACATCCAGTAGACTTTAGGGTTTAGTTGGGACACTCGAAATACTCCATAGTCCTTAGTTGGGACAACTAAATCAAATACTTGAACCCAAATAAAAAAAGGGTTGCCTTGTTGAGTTTCCTTCATGTATGCCCAAGAGTGGTCCTTCGTAGAAAATGTGTTAAAGCATGTCACACATCAAAAATCTGATGAAGTTAGAACTCTGTAATATTAAATGGTTACGCCACTAATTACTAGATTATATCTCTGTACTGAAACTTTGACACTAATCTGTGATACTGTTGCTCTAAATAGTATAGTATATTGTATTGTACAATCGTAGCTAGCTACCTCTATACAAATAGACTCTAGTTTTTGGAAATCCAACAACTACTACTGAATCTTTCTTTTTCCAGATTTGTAGCCTTCGGTTTCCCTTCAAATCTTGACATCGATCTTGTCCTACTCCTATCTGTGGAAACTGGAAAGCTAGCTCTATATCTTTACCTGCTTCAAATGATTACTGTGCTCTGGTCTACTACTATATGTGTCAATTAATCTTTTTTATTTATTTTTTCTTTTGGTCAAATGTTTCTTTTTCAATTGATTATTGCAGGGGACAAATATGAGCTTCAACTTGGAGTCTCTGTGTGGGACTTGGATTGTGTGTTCTCCCCATCCTATACCCTTCCCATCCTCTTCTATTTTTGTAATCACGGTTAAGGCACGTCAACATTTTAGATTGATTTTTTTTATAGAAATAATAAGACAAAAAATAATGGGAATATAAAATGTTGATGTGCCTTAACCGTGATCACAGAAATAGAAGGGGATGTAAAGGGTATGAGATAGGGAGGGCAAACAATCCAGGTCCCTCTGTGTGTGTGTGTCAACTTGGAGTCTGTGTGTGTGTAGGTGAAGTGTCGATTTAGTCTATAAACTATCATCTCAGTGAAAATTAGGTCATTGAATTATTTTTAGGTAAAATAAGTCTTTAAATTCATTAAAAATTGCTAATTGCATCCTTATTATTATATTCAAAACTATTTATCCAATTTTTCATCAACTTAAGTCACTTGACAATTTTAGAGTGTAATACCGTTTTTTTCTCGCCCATATGCCATTAAAATTTCATATAGGTTATCTAATATCTAATTTACTCTCCAAAGTTACATACACTATTTGTTTAAGTAAAATTACCAATCTACTCTTAAATGTGTATCACATGCAAATAACGTAACTTAAATTGATGAAAATTAAATATAGTAGTTTCGAAAATAATATTAGGGATGTAATTGACATATTTTTATAATTTAAGAACTTATTTTTCTGAAAAAAATAGTTTAGGGGCCTAATTTTCACTCAGACAATAATTCATAGCTAAATTGGCAATTCATCCTATATATATCCCTATATATGTGTGTGTGTGTGTGTATTTATATGATAATATTTGCGCGCGGTCCAAGAGCTTAAC